TTTTTCCATTTAATACCAATAAAGACAAAGTTCCTTGAGGCAGATAACACACACACATGCACACGCTTAATCTTGATTTCCATTTTTCAAAGTGACACCATGTAGACCGATCAATACTAACTAGCTGAGATATGTAACCTATTCACCATACACCCCTTGGTTTAGGTGCTAATTTCCTAGTGATTCAACTCATTAGGCTATCCAGGTAGCGTCAATCTCAATTCCTCACTGCCCCACTTTTCCTCCCATACTGTTTGGAATATAGGCAGGTAACTGAACTGCAGGAGAAATGAGAGGAGCTTACTTAATGTGACTTTGGGACACACAGACAACTGGGGGGAAAAGAAACCCTTTGATATTTCCAGGATAAAAAGTGGCCATTCCAGAGAGGTAGTCCTGCAGGATGAGAGGGGTCAGGACAGGAGCCAGCCTGGGGTGCAGCAGTAACAGGATACTTGGAGACGCTGGACCTGCAGGGGAGGCCTCCTGTACTTGCCAGGCCTGCATGCACGTGATCCCTGATCCTGGTTGGCAGAGGCTGGGGTGGGCTAGATTGTGCCATGAAGAGAGGGGGTGTACCTCTCTGTCTCTCTCATAGAAAAAAGGAACAGATAAACAGAAAAACTGGTGTTAGGACAATGTTGGAAAAGTCATGACACATTTTTGCATAGAAAAACATAGGAAAAAATATGACATGACTTCCGACAACTTGATAGTTTGCCATTCTAAAAGATTCTAGTAGTGATGGGAAAAAAGTAAATCACACTTTAAGGGGTTTCCTACCTTGAGACTTACTCTCTCACTCGCTCGCTAGCTCACTCTTTCTCTCTTTGTCTTTCTCTCTCTCCAGCCTGGGGTGCAGAAGTAACAGGATACTCTGAGACGTTGGACCTGCAGGGGAATCTATTTGTGGAATATGTTCTCTTTATCAGAGTGCTTCAGGAATGCTTAGCAAAATGCTATGAACATGCCGGGCATGTGTGCATGTGTGTCCAAAATCCCAGAGGAGAACGGAGGAGAGGGGGCTTGCGTGGTGGCCATCGTCCCAGGGAGTGCTTTCTCACTGCCCCCCACTCCTGTCTCTCTCCAGTGATCGCAAATGAGAACATATTCCACAAATAGATTCCACACATATGCAGACACATGCACACACACTCTTACTCTCTCACACAAAAGATTGAATTAGGACTTGAATGGGATTAGCCATAAATGTGTAAATCATAATTTTAGTTTGCTCATCAATCCATCTATCTACTCACTCAACAAATATTTTGAAAGCTTACTATGTGCCAGACACTGAGTTATGCAAGGAAAGACATGGTTCCTTAGAGAGTTCCCAGTTCCTGCATTTTCTAAGTTGGTTTTATTGCCATTTTGTCTCTTATTTATTAGTGATTTTAGAGGTGTTATGTTTTCACCATTAATCAAAATTTGTGTGGCATAAGTAGAAAGCATACATTAGTAAAGACTTTATCCCCCGATCCTGTAAGAAATTAATATACAGCTTGATTTTTTAAAACGTTTCCTTAAGTTGTGGATAATTTAAAACATTAATTTCTTCTTGGTCAATAGCTTTCTAAATTCCTTACAGAGTTCTGTGCTTTTAATGCAGAACGTACTAATGATTCAGGGTTATTATTAACAGAAGTTCTTATGCTATACTGTAATACTGAGCATCCTCAGATTATGATGATTTTTTGGGTTTTATTGATTTTTTTCTTAAATAAGAGAGACAGGAAAAGAGATAGAGCAAAATAAATGTTTTAAAGTTTATTTATTAATATAGTTGGGGTGGGGGAGGGAGGGACACCCTCAGCAGGGTCTCACCATGCATCTCTCCTCCTGACCCAGTCTCCTGGTTAGCTCGGAGTACAGGGCCATCCTTGGTGCATTTTTAGGCTGGTCCAGGAACCAAATTCAGGTGTTCCATGTGGCTCCAGCAACACGCAGTGGCCTCCAACCACCTGTATTACTGTGGCTGACCATCTCTTCCCATCTACATTGGTTCATTGGAAAAGTCACGACACAATTTTGCGTAGAGAAACATGTCATGATTTTTCTGACACAGTATTTTTTGCAGTTTATCTGTCATCTTTCCTATCAGGTCTTACTTTATGCTGTTGGTATCCAACTACCTGCTCAACGCTTGATCTTTATCTGCTACTTCTAAATTGCTGTGGCCTTATAAACTATAAAACCAGGAGGAAATGTGGCCACTGGGAGGACCGAAAGGTCCTTGTATAAAAGACAAGAACTTAATCTTTATGCTATCTTTTTCTGGCTGCTCAGAGTCAAGTTCTTATTTTCTTCATAGTATTTTTAAATAGGTAACAAGCTGGGCAGTTGTGTCCTTGATAGCTGAATGTATTCCTTTATTTACAGAATGTAGCATTTTATGTAGTATAATTGGATTTGGTTTTTTAGAGTTTGTTCGAACTATATTTTGTAACTGGGGGGTAGATTTTCAGCTATTTCAAAAGCAACAAAGCTATTTACCATGGCTTACTAGAGAGCTACCATGAATAAGAGGCATGGTTATGCTAGATAATTTGTTATAACTGGCCAATTTTGAAACAAATATTCTTTCCCCTTATAAATGACTTGGCAGGGACCAGCAGTTGGCGCATTGGCCATGTCATTGGACTCCCATCACCCCCCAGGGGGGATGGTCACGCCGCAATCCCTTCTCCTCCATTCTCCTCTCGGGATCTTGGGCACGCACGCACACGCACCCGGCTTCATAGTATTTTTAAATAGGTAACAAGCTGGGCAGTTGTGTCCTTGATAGCTGAATGTATTCCTTTATTTACAGAATGTAGCATTTTATGTAGTATAATTGGATTTGGTTTTTTAGAGTTTGTTCGAACTATATTTTGTAACTGGGGGGTAGATTTTCAGCTATTTCAAAAGCAACAAAGCTATTTACCATGGCTTACTAGAGAGCTACCATGAATAAGAGGCATGGTTATGCTAGATAATTTGTTATAACTGGCCAATTTTGAAACAAATATTCTTTCCCCTTATAAATGACTTGGCAGGGACCAGCAGTTGGCGCATTGGCCATGTCATTGGACTCCCATGTAGTCGACCACGGTTTGCGTCCCAGACCTGGTGGCTTAAACTCATGCCGGGTGCATGTGCATGCGTGCCCCAGATCCCGAGAGGAGAATGGGGGAGAAGGGACTGCGGTGTGGCCATCCCCCCAGGGGGAATTTCTCGCTTTCTGTCTCTCTTTGCCTTTCTGGCAAGTGCACATGCCCTATAGCAAAAACCTCTCAAAAAATTAATTAAAAAAATAATAAATGACTTGGTGAACTATGGTTTGTGGGAAGTGCACCTTGTGATCTCTAGACTCCTAGAGTCTAGACTTGGTTAACTCAGTAAGAATATGGAGAAAGTGAGACTTGTTGACTAAATCCGAGAACACAGGCAGAAGAGTAAAGTAACAGGACTTACCGTTTGCCAGGCTGATATTTCCTCAGACATCTAGGAGACATGGGATGATACTAGGCTGGGCTCAGATGATGGAATTTGGGATCAATAGTCAAGAATGGTTTTATTGGGCTCATCTTAATGATAGGCATGAGGAAATAATAATTCTGTTTGGATATCCTAGACAAACTTATGGGGAGTTAAAAATATGTGATTAAAAAAAGACTGGGAATTTTTATTAAGTATTCTAGAAAGACAGAGATTTTTCTCCTTCTAGATCTTACTGCTTTAATAATGTGACAAGATGATAGCAGCTGCACATTTTATGTTCTCTTTAAATGGATACCTTTGATGATCTAAGAGGGACTCATCAGCAGGAGCTGATAAGAGAGGAATGACTTTTAACCACTTATTAAGATCTTTCAGAGTCCAGGACCCAACTCTTACTTGCTTCGGGTTGTCCTCAGCACAGGGCCATACTGTGACTGTACAGTATGGTAGCCACTTTTGTCTACTTAAATTTATTTAAATTACATAAAATAGGGGCCAGCTGATGGTGTAGTGGTTACATCACTGGAATCCCACATGGCTGACTGCGTTTGAGTCCTTTACCTAGTGGCTTGAAACTCATGCCAGGTGTGTGTACATGCGTGCTCCAGATCCAGGAGGAGAATGGAGAAGGGATTGTGGCATAGCCATCCTCCCTGGGGGAGGTGATTTCTCACTTTTCTCCTGTCTCTTTCTCTTAGGAGAGCACACACACCCTATAGCAAAAACCTCTACAAAAAAAAAATAATTAAATTTTAAAAATCAGTTCCTCAGTAGTCATTTCAGTAGTCAAATCTACCTAGTGGCTTTCATACTGGACAACACATAGGTAGAACCTTTCCATTATTGCAGAGGCTTCCTTTGGAAGGTGCTATTCCAGAGCCTGGCCTCAGCTGGCTGCTACACCTGTACCCATGGCCTCCTCAAGAACTCTTGGAGCTAGCTGGCCTAGCTCCAGCATGCCTGCTCAAGTCAGTGAGTCTTGACTAACCCAACTTAGCTCTTTTTTGCTACAGGGTCCTGAAGGAGCCTCAAGACACAAGGAAGAGATAATATTCTTCCTAATATTCTTCCTTGTGTCTTGAGATTCCTTTTATTTGTATTTTAAAAACTAATGTTGTCATTGGCTGGCTAAATAACAAATCGCACCAATGTTCTTGCTGACCTTTCGTTAACAATGGGACATGCTGTTTTGTTGTGTAAAATATTCTTAAATCAAGTTGAAAATTGGGAAAAACTAGGTGTGAGGTCTTAGAAATCTATGATTCAACAAAATGTAGTATATTGATCGATGTTCTCCCCTATAAGATGTCAAGAATGTGTCCTACTAGGTCTTGTAATTAATTATTTTTTGTTAAGCTTGTTTAGTTGAGAGTGGGACTGCTGAAATAGTTGGGAATTGAAGAAATATTTAGATTGAAGAGAAAACTTCAATTGAGTTGGAAACCCAAAGACTACAAGGTAGGATGGTTAGCCTGAGATGAATTCTAATGCTCTGCTTACACCCTCCACCAACCTACTTGTTATGAAAATCGTAGATCTCCTGGATGTTGCCAAAGATGATATGCTCTTTATTTAGGATCCCAGGGGGGATCTCTTCCACACCACTGGTCATTTCCCACAGGTAGGTCTGTAAGACAGCAACAGTTTATCACTGCCAAGTACTGCTATGTGAAACAGAGACAGAATAAACAGTCTAAGTCTTGCCCTTTAGTTTGTGGGGCAACACTCAGACTAGGAATGTACAAAGTTTAAAAAAACAAGGTGTAAGATAAGCACAACAGAAAGAAAGAAAACATGAATGCTCCATTACCCTGAAACTGAGCAAGAACACACACTCTGTACTCTCCTTGTTATTTATTAAATGTGTATGGATTTGAGAGAATAGGTGTGTGCATGCAATTGAATAGGTCTATGTGTGGGTGTAGGGAGGGTGCAGATTTTCAGACCCAATTTAAGTTTATTGACTGTGTTATGATTTTTAATTTTAATTAAAGTGCCTTATATTCTTTTTTCCTCTGGGTCTAATGCAAGTCTAAGAAAAGCTTAAACTTTTTTTTTTTTCATAAACATTTTAAACTCCCATGCAATTACTATTGACTCAGAAAGAAAGATTTCCTCTGGTTGGCGTTTTTTTCCTTACTCTCTGGAAAGACAGTATTGAGCGCCTCTCAAGGACTCGATGATGTCAAGGATGTCATTTTTCCAACACAGCTGTGAACTGATTACTGCAAGACTTACCTCCAAGCACTCATGTAAGTCCCTTACATAAGCCTTTTCTGTCTGGAGTAGTTCAGCCATAATGAATCTAGAAGGAAACAAATGGGCTTTTAGTTGGTTATAGATGCATTTTATCTCTTTCTTCAAAATTCATTTTCTGACCCTAGAATTGATGACATTTTTGGATGTCCTCATTTTTTTTTAAACTCCTTCCCCCATCTGAGTATCTTCCTGAGAGTCACTCTGATCATTTACTCTGCATCCCTTCAGCAAGTTTCTGCTCAGCTAGTTCCATATTCTTTCCCTTTTCCACCCCAATTCTACCATTCTGTGATTCTGTGCTGACATGCATGTGTTTTCAATTGCATGTGTGTGTGTCCATGTGTGCACAAGCATGAGGACCATTTACAGTCTATCTCACCAAGACAGCTTGAATCTCAGCTTCCTACATTTCTCTTACAGCTCCCGGAATGATGATTTCTGTTCAATAAAGTTTGTAGACTTGTACCAAAACAGTTTTCAGTATTTTAAGTTAAGCCAGATTTCAAAGCCCAACACACCCCCAAGATCAAGGATCCATAACTTGTTCTGTAAAGGGCCACTGAGTCTGTCACACAGCTCCATTTTGCACATAGAAGATGAGTTTTAAAAAATAAACACAAAGGGTCTTCAAAAAGTTCATAGTTGCTGGACTCCCACGTAGTTGACCACGGTTCAAGTCCCAGACCAGGTGGCTTAAACTCACGCCAAGCGTGTGTGCATGCCCAAGATCCTGAGAGGAGAATGGAGGAAAAGGGATTGCGGCGTGGCCATCCCCCTTGGGGTGTGATTTCTCACTTTCTGTCTCTCTCTGTCTGTCTGGCAAGCACACGCACCCTATAGCAAAACCCTCTCCAAAAAAAGAAAGAAAAAAAAAGTTCATAGAAAATATGTGTTGTGAAAAAACTATGCATGGATTTCAACTTTTTTTGGTACAAAAATAAACTAGTAATTTAATTCCATTTCCACAAATTTTTTCAAGTTCCCTCATAAATCTATTTGGCTACATTTTAATAAACACTATTTATGGACATTGAAATTTAAATTTTATCTAATGTTCTTTCTTTCTTCCTTCCTTTTTTTTTTTTTTTTTAAAGAGATTTTTGCTATAGGGTGTGTATACTTCCTGGAGAGACAGAGAGACAGGAAGCAGGAAGAAATCACCCCCCTCCCCCAAGTAGGATGGGCACACTGCAATCTCTTCTCCATTTTCCTCTTGAGATCTTTAGTGAATCTTAAGCTGCCAGCTCCAGGACTTGAACTGTGGTCAACTACGTGCGAGTCTAGTGACATAACCATTATGCCATCTGATGGTCTGAAATTTTATCTAATTTTCATAATGTCATAAAATATCCTCCTTTTTTCCCCCCTAATGATTTAAAAATACAAAAAATCATTTTCAGTTTCTAGACTATGTAAACCAGTTGGCAGGTCAATTTGGCCTGGGTGTCTGACCTCTGACCTAGATTGTCTCATTAACTATCTAGACATGACTTCTAATGGGACCTGTTTACATCACAGATGGATGTACATAGAGCTGCACATTTGGTCACAAGCACAGCACCAGTGAACAATGTCAGGTGACTGCTTTCTAGTTTCCCGTAGGGAGAAGCTACACATCTTTGAAGAGAGGCTCCCTTCCTCCTTGGGCCCTAAATTACCTAACACACCTGGACAATTGTTAAACTTGTGATTCATGTCTTCACTGTAATGTATCTATTTCTTTTTTTTTCTCAAATTTTTATTAGAAATGGTTCTTGGGACCAGCAAATAACATAATGGTTACGTTACTGGACTACCACATGGGGGACTCATTCTGGGTGGTGTGTGTGTGTGCATGCCCGAAATCCCTAGAGGAGTATGGAGGAGAAAGGATTGTGGTGTGGCCATCCTCCCTGGAGGATGATTTCTTGCATTTGGTCTCTCTCTGCCTCCCTGGTAAGCGCATCTATAGCAAAAATCTCTCTTAAGAAAGAAAGAATTCTTTCTGGCTGGCATATGATATCTAATTGAGCACAGATCATATATTTATACATTTATCTTACATCTTTTATATCAGTTTTTCATGTAGTTCATAATGAGAACTCCTATTTTCAGGTGTTTCATCAAATGAAAATTTTGAGAAATATTGTCCCCAAAGTGTCCCCTATTGGAAATTTTCCTAGAAATATTAAATGAGTGAGAAGAAGACACCTTCATGGCTCTTGAGAACTAGTGATTTCAGGGAAAGAAGAGAAATGAAGATTTTCTACTGATAATTCAGCCTCCAGCCCATAAACTTAAGTGGTAGGAAGCCCCTCAAGCCTTCTCTATGTCTCTGTCCCTGTCTCTCTCTGCTTCTGTCTAAGTCTTCTCATTTTCTTGTAATTTTTCCTTTAAATTTTTTTTTAAGGTAAAGTATTTTCTTGGCTTTCTGCCTTTCCTTTACCTTTTTCTTGTTAATAATATCCTCTTGCCCTTCCACACAGGAGAGGCAAAGGGCAGGCCTTCAGAAGAAGACACTTCATGGCTCCTGAGAACTAGTGATTTTGTGTGGTGTTTGCATGCAGCGCAGTTTTCTATTACTTGCTTTATTAAAAATAATAATATTTTTTAAAGTTTTTTTTTCCCTTCTTTTTTTCTGTTTCTTGGTTGTTGCTTTTTTTTTTTTTTCTCTCTGTCTGTTTCCTTTTCTTTTATCTCATCTCTCTGCTCTTCAATCTCCATTCACTGTGTTTCTAGATGGATCTAAAGGAACTATAGCCAAACATCCGAATACTATTAGGGTTAACATATTCCTCAATACCTACTGAATCTGCTGCACAAAGGGATCAAAACGGAATGGCAAAGAGATTCCTGATCACGTCTTTCTGCATACTCCTGAATGCTCAGATTGAACTTCAAGTTTAGGAAGAAACGCACCATCCATCAGATGACCAGAAATCACCGCAGGGCCACAAGAAATATAGGAAAGCAAGGCAATACCTCTCCTCCAAGGGAAAAGAATAGCTCCTCTTCATCTACAAACAGTTAAATGGAAATCATGGATATGTCTGATAAAGAATTTAGAATATTCATAATGGTGACACTAACAGAGATGGAAGAGAAGAGAGACAATGAACTGCAAAAGAGAAAGGAGAAAGGAGTTGATGAGCTCCAGGAAACTTTGCAAGCCTAGAGAGGCACTCAAAGATCCAGTCCCAAGAAATGCAAAGGACCCAAAATAGAATCAACCCAAGAAGATCTTCTCCAAGACACATTATAGCCAGATTGACCAAAACCACAGACAAAGACAAGATACTAAGACTGGCAAGAAAAAAACAGCAAATTACCTACAAAGGATATCCCATCAGGCTAACAGCAGAACTCTCATCAGAAACAATGAGAGTGAGGAAAGAATGAGAAAATATATTCAAAGTGTTAAGGGAAAAGCAATTTCAACCAAGAATACTGTACCCAGAAAGATTATCCTTCATATGGGAAGAAAAGAATATTCTCAGATAAACAAAACCTGAAAGAATTTACCAGCACCAGACCAGATTTCTAAAAAGTTCTCAAGGGAGTGCTATATAAGGAAAATTAATAAGAGTTCAAAAACTAAGAAAATGGCCAACTTAATCATAGGGACAAATCTGGAGTTGAATATTATATCCCAGAATTCAATTGGGAAGATTGAACCACAACAGAAGATAGATTAAGTATATGAGACGGAACTGGTGAAATAGCATTTTATGACTTTTGACTAAAATATTGCTGATTTTCTTCTAGGCTTTGTTGTCTGGTTTTAAGAGTTTTCGTCCTATCTTGAGCTGTCGATAGGTTCATGTACCTACTATTTGAACAGCACCCTAACGTGTTTCCTGGATTTAAGTTTTATATGAAGTTATTTAGCATTTCTTTGATTTATTAAAGTTAAAACTGCCTTTCTTGAAATTACCAGCTGACCTTGCTATTGAAAGTAGTTAGATTATTTAAGAAATTGTGTGATCAATAAAATGTGGGGGGAAAGGAATGGAAGACAACTGTAGACACCAGAGATAGTGTGAGACGAAGGTGGGAAAGGAGAGAGGGTCAGAAATAGGGGTTAAAAAATATATATGTGATATATGTATGTGTGTGTGTGTGTGTGTGTATATATATATATATATGTGTGTGTATATATACATATATATGAATGTATATATATGTGTGTATGTATGTATGTGTATATATAAACACATATATGGTTTCATATATATATACAAAATGGAAAATTATTGATGATAATATGCATGATTAAGCCACTACACAGTATATTCTGGGTGGGAAATCACAGTTTGAATGCTGTGATGATACATAGGGAATGAATATAAATTAATTAATTAAAAAAATGTTTCAGGAAAAAAAACAAACACGAAAATTGTTTTTCTCTAAATTAAAAAAATGCATTAAAAATATCTGTTTGAAATACCAGATATAGTGTGTGTGAAAGAAGAGGGTCTGAGGAACAACATTTAGAAGAAAAATAGGGAGGCAAAGCATTAATGGGACAAAGAAATGTGGTATTATCTGTTGAAGATAGTTTTTATAGTTTTATCAACTGTACTACTGTTCACCTGTGGAAATATTCATTTTGTAAGCTAAATAATGTGACTGAATGTATAAAAGAAAATGAAATAAAAAATGAAAAAAAGAAAACCTACTTGATGACTGCAGTAAGCTATACAGCCCCAGCTCCAGCTAGGTGCGACTTTATAGTATGTTTATTCTACTCACTGGAGTTTATGCCTAAAGCCAGGCTTGTGTTCATGGATATGTATATATCAGCTGTGCTTGCTATTGAAGATATTTAGATTAATTAAGATCTTTAGTGAATCAATAAAATGTGAGGGAAAAAAGGCATAGAAAGCAACCATAAATACCAGAGACAGTGTGGGAGGAGGGTGGTAGATGACAGAGGGTGAGAGACAGGGAATCAAGGATGGGGGAAAAAAGCAAAATATACAGGAAACAAGAAATGGAAAATTATTTGTTGACGATAACACATATGTCGATGTGCTTGATTGAGCCAATATACAGTGTATTCTGGATGGGAAATCTCATTTTGTATGCTGTAATGATGTATAGTGAATGAATGTAAATATATAAATTTAAATTAAAAAAAGGAATAAAAGAAATATTAAATTAGCACCATCTTTTCCTGGACCTTTATCTTAGTGGGATTTTTTTTTTTTTTTTAAAGAATACATTGTTTATGCGGTGGCCTTTCTAGTAGAATTACAATTTTAAAAATATCCCTTTTATAAAAGTTACTTAGTCAGTATTCTCCTAGTCTTACTCTATTGATAGAATGAAGCTGGACAAACAGGGACTAAGCTATAACTCCAACATTTACTAGAAGTAGAATCTGCTTCTCCAGGCCTCAGATTCCTTACTTATATAGTAGAGGGTCGTGGAGTCAGTAGGTTGGCATGGTGCTTAAGGTGCTGGACTCCCACATGGCCAACTGCTGTCCCAGACCTGGCAGCTTGAGAATCACGCTGGGTGTGTGTGTGTGTGTGTGCGTGTGTGTGTGCGTGTGAAATCCTAGAAGGAGAGTAGAGAAAGGACTGTGGCGCAGTCCATCCTCCCAGGGGTGATTTCTCACTTTCCCTTTCTCTGTCTCTCTGGTGAGCTCATGTGCCCTCTGGTAAAGACATTCAAAACAAACAAACAAAAATCGCTGATCGCACAGGATTGCTGTAAGCATTAAACAAGACCATGTAAGCAAAGAACCTAATAGACAGGAGGTGCTCAGCAGACACCCAATGATTAGAGAAACTAACTTGCTATGATACTAGGAAAGAAAGAGCAGGAAGGGCATAAATGATGGGCTTTGAAAAACTGTCCTTGATTTTATTGCTTAGGGGTTTCTGGCATCGTTCTTTTTCTCTTACCTGCTTCTTGTAATTTTATACCTGCCTTTCTTCATAATTTATCTCAATTACTCCCATCCCACTTCATTTTACTTTTCACTCACCTTTAACCCTGTCCTATTTGGTGTCCTAGGAAGAGTGCAGAAAGAGGATGTGGCCAAATGTAGTGTCATTTCCCTTCCTCTTATGGGCTCATTTGCATTTCCCCAAAATTCATATGTTGAAGTGCTACACTTCAGTTATCTCAAGTTTTTATCTATTTTTTTTTAAAGTCATTGAAGAACTAGAGTAGGGTAAGCCCCTAATCCAGTATGACTGTTTCCTTATAAAAGGGGAAATTTGGATATAGGCAGATATTCAAGAGTAATACCATGTGAACATGAAAACAGCCATCTACAAGCTAAAGAGAGTGGCCTGGAATGGATTTCTGCCTCACAGCCATCAGAAGAAACCAACTTTGACAATGCCTTTATTTCAGACTTCTAGCCCACACAGCTGTGAGAGAACACATCTGGGTACCACATTGTGTATTCTGTTACAGGAGCCCTAACAAACTAATAGGGTCTCATTTGAAGAAAGCTCTGACTTTTCAGACCAGCTTTGGTTTCTTTAACACCAAGGAAACTTCATTTTGATAAAATAAACCATATAGGGCTTTTTAATCTTAGGGCACTACTTTTTTTTTTTCCTAGCATTACCCAAATGTTGTCAAAATGTTATAAATAAATAGAATAAAAAATCATAAAATCTTCCAGATATCTCAGGATATGTGTGACTTTGAAACTCCAAAATAAAGAAAACAGAGGACCAAAAAATGGCTTGTAAGAGTCACATCATGACCCATTGTTTCCACTGTCCTCTGCCTTATAATTCTTGATTAGTGTAAAATGTTGCTAAGGACCATCTACCAAACAACCAAAGAAGCAAAACATGTTTTGCTTTTCTGCAGTCAGGATTCTGAGACTAGAGCTGAACTACTGATACTTAGAGAAGAGAGGAGGAATGTAATGATGAATCTGGTCCCATTTCTCTAAAGGGATTCTGGCCCCTATCCATTTTTATTCTGGGAAAAGAGTTCGATTTATGAAAATCTCAGGCAACTTCAGAGTCTTCCTAAATGTCCAAATCCCAGCATTCACTTGTGTCTTTCTGGTGATTCTCCTCTGTCTTAGCTCCTGTGGTCTATTGTTGCCCAGGTCAACCTAGATGGCAGCTTTATATTCTTTTCTCTACAATTCACTCAGCAGACCATCTTCCTTTGCTTTTGAAATCTTATTAATCACCAGGCAAACTCTTCTCAATCTGAATACCTACATCAAGTCAGGAGGGGCCATCTGGTACTGTAGCACCTGCCAAGGCATACCTGACCATATTCTGGCCCATTGGGACACTTGGAACTTCAAGTAAAAACATTGGTATTATGTCCTTATTTATTGTATAATTTTCGATAACTTCTTGCCCTACCCCCAAGGTTTCAATTTCCATATCCAGTTATGTCTATAAGTTTTGATTGATCAATTATGTTTTATTCATTACTCTCTTAGTCCCTTGGTTCATACGAGAGACTCAAACAGTTATAATTTAGAAAGATATGATGAAGACTCAGTTGAATAAGTAAAACGTGAATGGGTATAGAAAGGGATTATAAGAGTTCAGAAATGAATAGACAGATAAAGGATTCACAGAGGCGTAAGGTATGAGCTGGATTTTAAAAAATTAATAGGGTTTAGAGAGGGGGAAATAAAACCAAACAGAAAAGAGAGAAAGAACAAAGGGAAGGGAAGAGAAAGGAAGAAACAAAAAGCAGAAGGCTCCAGGTTAAGAACAAGTATATACAAATTATTCTTAGACTTGAAAGGAGCTGAGGAAAGTGAGCTGACTGAAATGTGTCATTTAAACTGTAAAGTATTTTGAAATAAGAATGATTTAGGTGAAGGCAAATGATAGCCTCTTGAGGAGTTTGATCTTTATCCTGGGGACATTATGAAATCACTTAAAATCTGGAGTTAATGAGGAGCATAATAGACATGAATCACAGTACACAGAGTAGTGAAGAGTCAGACAGAGCTGATGTAAATTCCACTATTACCGTGTGTGTGGTTTGGGGAAGGTTACTTAGCTTTTCTAAGTCTTGCTTTTCATATGTAAAAATGGGAATAATTTTAAATACATGAAAAAGTGACAGAAAGACAAAATAAGAAAATGTATATAAGGCAGTTTATATGATATTTAGCATATAAAACATTCCAGGGGTGAAAGGGGATTGATATTAGTGATGATAAAATGTTACTCCAGAAAGGCTAATCTAGGTGAATAGGTGAACAGGGCAGAGGCTGGAAGGAAGGCTGGGGGAAGTTTTTGAAAATAATCCAAATTTCTGATGAAGAAGGACATGAATAAGAATCTGTGAAGATAAAAGATAATAGCACAGATGGGAGAAATTTCGAAGAAGGGATTAACACAGGGGTGAAGGGATAAGTCAAAGCTTTGCAGATTCAAGACTGAGAAATTAACAGGATAATGACATTGATGGGAAATAAGAAATCAGAAGGAAGAACTAAATTTTAAGGGGGGAAAATATTTGGCTTGGTCCATGTTGAGTTTTGAGATTGTAAAATGACTCCTGATGCAAGAGAGAGATTTTCTGCAGGAATTTACTGATACTTGAAGAGAACTCAGATGAAGGGCACATTGGAGAAGGCCAAAAGCCATCAGAGTAAACCCATACTCCCAACAGAAGCACCATGTGTGTCCACTCTGATTCAGGTAGGTGTTCATGAGGACACATGAAGCTATTGAAAGGGACAGGAGGCAGTGAAAACCAGTCATGAGAGCCTGCCAGCTGGGGCAGAAGCTCCCCAACACATACTCTTTCTTCCGGGCTGACTTCCGCTTCTCTTCATTGATTTCATGGTTGGCGTCCCGTAGCTTGACCTCACGATCTGAAAGGCTTGCTGGGATGATATCAAGTTCCAGGTCTTTGTTGTCCTACAAAAAGAAGGACTGCAGAGGTTACCTTGAAAATGCTTTTGGGAAAGCAACTCCCTCAGGACAGGAGAGGTAGCAATGGAGAAACACAGAGGAAGACATGATGGAAAAGGATGAAAAGACAGGGGATCCAACAAACTACCGTCTACAAGCACTTTTCTTCATGGGATAATTTTGATTTTCAAATAAGATATAAAATGTTCAGGTCAAATATTTAGGGTTAATATTCACAACAAGAAAAAAATGTACACATTTGATAATTACTATATGTATCCATTTCTCTGAGGACTTTTGGCCTAATTAAATTTTTTTTTGAGAGTTTCTTTGTTTATTTTGTTTATTTTTTTTTTTTTGCTATAGGGCGCGTGTGCTCGCCAGAAAGACAGAGAGAGACAGAGAGACAGAAAGCGAGAAATCCCCCCCCGACCCCCAGAGGGGATGGCCACGCCGCAGTCCCTTCTCCTCTATTCTCCTCTCGGGATCTTGGGCACACACGCACACGTGCCCAGCGTGAGTTTTAAGTCACTGGCTAACTGTTGGTCCCCTGATTAAATCTTTAAACACACACACACACACACACACACACACACACACACACATTATTCTAAAATTGATTACTTTTTTAAAGAATTATTTATTTAATTTTATTTATTCATTCATTCTTTTCAATTTGCCCAGCGAGACAGAGACAGAGAAAGAGAGAGAGAGAGAGAGAGAGAGAGAAAGTGAGAAAGCAAGCCACCAGGTCCGGGACTTGAACCGTGATCAGTCATGTGGGAGTGTACAGCGCCTTAACCACCATGCCACCTGCTGGTCCCCTAAGATTGATTCTTAACCATTAAAACAAATGTGAAAAAGAAACACATAAATATATTTAAAGAACTTTAATTCATTAAAAGAAAATAATCAAATACTTTTATTTAAGCAAGCAATTTCCCTCGAAAATAGAAAGCTAAATATTATAAGAATGACTGAAGTTTCTAATTGATCATCCCTCCTTATTTCAATCACCATTTAATATTTACTTACAATGGAACCCCAAAGGAAAAAAAAAAAAAAAAACCTCCCACATACTCAAGCCTTACTGAGATGTTAACTGCCTCAACTTTTAGTGGTTTGATCTCTTCATTCTTTAGGCTGTTCTGTTTCAGAGCAGGAGTCTATTTAAAGATTTAAGAATTAGAAATCCTAGGATTAAACTGCCAGGCTGTATTTATCTCTTAATTCATAGGTTTCTGACCCCTATTATAAAGAAGAGATTAAGTCAGCATTCCTTTGCTTCATGGCAAACAGTACCTCTTTTCAGTTGAAATGTCAAAGAGCTTTTGTCAAATTGCACCCCTTTTTTCTTGAAAGAGCACTATTGTACATACGAGGAACCCTAATCATTTCCTGATTAACATAATTGGGTGGAAGATGGTACTGATAAAGTCAAAATAAAGGGTTTAGTCCTCAAAATCAACAGTTAACTCTATATAAAGGAAAACTGTTCCGTAGCTGTAGGCCTCACTCCTGGCCATTCAGTTTTGCAAGAGATAGAACACTAAACATGAGGAATGAAGGTCAATGGATCAGCAGATTCCACTCCCCCCACTAGAAAATCACGCTAGGCCGTAAGGAGCCAGCAGCTCAGAACTGCTCTGGAATTGGTCTTTTTTTCCTGTGGTGATAAGGACAGTGATTCTGAGGGAGAGGAGAAGGAAGGATGTCCCAGTGGGTCACACACCACACCTACCTCTGTGTTAACTCCTAGGGCTTTCTCCAAGGAGTACCGGTACTTTCCCATCCTCAAGGAGAAGTCTCTGTAGTGCTTGTCCACCGTGGTCACCCATTTCCTTATCTCTGTGGCATGAATGTGGCCTTTTTCCACAAAGCTATCAGCCAGTTGAATCAGAAGCTTTACCTTCTCTTTTGTTTGCTGTCCCAAAAGATGGTCTTAAATCAGTGGATTACATTTATTCTCATGTCTCTTCATCCCAAGCCTCCATTTCCTCTGCACAGAAGCCACAGATACCTCATCGCTAGACTACCTGGGTTTGTCTCCTGCCCTATCACTTACTAGCTGAAAGATCTTGAGAAAATTATTCACACCCTCTCTGCCTCAGTTCCTTTATCTGTGAAAAAGAGAATATAGCAGTATCTTTATTGAGTTGTTATGAGGACTGAATGGGTTGATAATGTAGAGTGCTTAAAACACTGTCTGGAACACAGAAGGCACTCACAGTAACCACAGTAAGAACTCAGTAAGCCATGTTGGCCATCATCATCATCATTTCTTATGTAAGAATCTCTTACATGAATATAGTCCTTTACCAGTTTAGAGTAAGTTAAGTTAATCTACCCGAGGCTTATTTGTCTTAAAGTATTCTTAGAAGTAGGTAGAGGAAAGTAGTGCAGGTCTCTTTGATCCATGAATGAAAAAAATCTGAGGCTTAAAGAATCTTGGGGCTGGTCCCAGTTTTTACCACCCGTAAGTAACAGAGCCTCCTTGCCTCTGATCCCTCATTCCTAGTTCTCTCCCTTCACTGCACTGGTGGAGTTAGGCTCTACAGATCATGTAAAGATCTAAAGAAATCCAACTAGTGCATCGAAGAGTAACACTGCCCCTTTTACTATCAGGATCTTGTCTTCAGTTTCCATTAGAGGGAAGGAGAAAGCTTAATGAAGCTAGTATCTATTATGAAGCTAAGTGAGGTAGAAATCTGACATATATTGGGTTAACTTCATTTCTAGCAAGTTTATTCAACATCTCTTCTGTCCATAGTACTGTGTGGAGGGCTGTGGAGATGGGCTTAGAGCTAAGCCAAAACATAAAACAAGGTGTTCATTTCCTCTTTTCTCTAATCTCTAAGGAGGACAAGGTTTTTCTACAAAATAATTAAATATCTTAGGAAATTATGTAATTGAGTGCCAAAATGAGAAGTACATGCAGTAAATGCTGCAGGAATTTTAAGACAGAAAAAAAACTGTTTCTAAGCAATGAGAATTGCTTAAGAAGAGATGCCCGGTACCCTAAGGATACCTATTTTACTATGTTTAGAGTTTATTTTTCTCTGGAAAACAGTTTTCCATATTTTCTATTTTCTTAAAACAGACATTAATTTTTGCTGGAAATACATATTCCCTGTTCTTAGTGGGGTGACCTCAGCTCTAAGATGGGGTTTTACAGCCAGCCGGGGAGGCAGTCCTACTGAGACGGCAATAAGAGAGAAAGTCTACCTGAAGCATCAAAACTGTGACTAAGAGTCAAAGAGAGAATGTGACCAAGAGTATTCCAATTTGCATCCAAAAGACCAAACAGGCAGTAAAATGAGCAGAGATCAAAGAAATAAAATACATGATACAACATGGATGAACTGTGAAAGCATGCTAAGGGGAAGAAGCCAGTCACAAAAGACCACATGTTATACGAGCCCATTTATATGAAATGTAAGGAACAGGAAACTCCATAGAGATAGAAAGTAGATTTGTGGTTTTGAGTGGCTGAGGGAAGTGGCAAAAGGGAACAGGCTGCTAATGGGTATGGGGGTTTCTGGGGTGATGAAAATGTTCTGGAACTAAATAATGACAAGAGTACAACTTTGTGAACTTACTAAAATCCACTGAATTGTAAAAAATGTAAACAATGAGTCTAAAAAAAAAAGTTTTGCTTTTAGAAGAAATAGAGGTCTTCTAGATGTCAAGACGACTAAGCTTTGCTGTCACTGTGTGCCTTAACCCCTTATAAATCTTAAAACCTACCATAAAAAAATATCATTTGTATTTTTCTAATTGGATTATCCAAAAGCACACTTCAACATGAAAGTTTTGTTTTCCTCTTATCCTCACCCAAACTTTCTTGATCTCTATTTTTTCCTTACATTTGTAGGTTTCTATAGAGAAAGTACTTTCTTTCTTTTTTTTAATATTCAGTGCTTTTTCTACTTGATCTGTTTCTTTGGAGCAGATATAATAATTCAGTATCCTCTGTCACCCTATTCAATCCTGAGAGCCACTGTATTTACTCTCGGTGGTTCAAGGATAATTGGGTTTTCATTTCAAATTCTTTTTATTGGTAATAAGGATTAAAGCCAAAGATGGTTTTCCTCTGGGGAATGGGGCTAGGGAGGCTAGTGCCTTTCATCAGAAGCTCCTGAGCTGGATTTGTCACGTTGTAGATATTCTGATACTAATAACCCTGAGATTTGGAACATGAAAAACGGGAGAATAATACTCTGTTAAGGAAAAAAGTTCAGTTGAGAGGAAGAGAGAACATGGAGGGCTCTAAGAAGAATCATATTAAACACAGATTGGGGGAGAACGATTAAAATCTACCCCAACTTTCTTTTTTACTATGTTCACAAATGTTTATAGGCTCCCTTCAATGAATAAGGTAAAGCCAGGTAACATAGGGAGAGAGGATAAGCAGTGTGATCTCTGTTTTTCAGGACAACTGGCTCCTACCGGGGATGCCCTCAGATACTAGAGAACAGATGGCCACACTGGTGCTGTAGGGTTACACATGGGGGCCACAGAGCAGGGGTGGGGCCAGATAATCTCCGGGTATATAGGTAGGATCCCAGAGCAGGAGGCACCGGAGTGGAAAGACGGGTTCTTTTTTTTTTTTTTTTTTTTTTGAGAGGTTTTTGCTATAGGGTGCATGTGTTCACCAGAAAGACAGAGAGAGATAGAAAGTGAGAAATCACCCTCCAGGGGAGATGGCCACACCGCAATCCTTTCTCCTCCATTCTCCTCTCGGGATCTTGGGCATGTACACACATGCGCCCGGCATGAGTTTAAGCCACCGGATCTGGGACTTGAACTGTGGTCGACTACTTGGGAATCCAGCAACATAGCCATTGTGGTAACTGCTGGTCCCAAGGTGGGCTCTTTGTAAAAAGCACAAACTAAAGAAGAGGGAAGGAAGAGTCATGGTATGGAAAAGGTAGTGCAAAATGTAGATGACATATCTCTCAGAGAGTAAGAAAATACAGCCAGTCAGCCAGAGCACACAACAATATTGAAGATGAACCTGGGGAGAGAGGTGGCACCATTGTAGAAGTTGTGGATTGTAAATATGAAGGCACTGGAGGATCATTATAATTTTGAGCTAAGTGGTCATGTGACCATGTGAGCCAGTATTTTAAAGATGAATAACGACAAAGAGCAGGATGGGAAGGAAAGGAAAGAAAGGCCCAAAGCATGGAACCCAGTTAGGGTGGTCACCATATGAACTGGGAACAGGGGAAGGATAGGAAGAAAGTCATAAAGGAAGAATGAGTTAAATTGAGAGAATAATTCTTCAAGTTCTACTTTGTATATATAGGCAAATTCTGATCTTAAGGAGTTTGGGCACCTGCTGTGATCCACTTTATGTAGGTAGGAATACTAGGAATAGTATCAGTAGGAATCTGATACTATTCAGCCTGTTCATGTTCATTATTGACACTATTTGAAGAGGCATAGAGACACTAAAATGGATCAATTCAAAAGCCGTTTTCATTTGGATTTAAAAAGGATTCTATGTCTCTGCTACCTTCTCTGTGCCAATTTGTTCTAGCTGGTATTCAAATGGGTCTCTCTATTTTTAAAAAAATTATTTAATTTTATTTATTCATTCAGTCATTTTCATTTAACAAGAGAAAGACAGACACACAAAGAGAAGGAAAGTGAGAAATCATGCCATCAAGTCTGAGACTCGAACCATGGTTGGCCATATGTGAGTGTTCAGTGCCTTAACCACCACGCCACCTGCTGGCCCAAAGTGGGTCTCTTATCTGAATTCATAGCTATTTACATTGGGCAAAAAGGTCCCAAAACTCACAAGGATGCATGCTAAGAGTTTATATTGAGTGTTTGAGGACATAGGATTCTGAAATATCAGCTCAGGAATGAGGGGAAGGGCCCAATTTCATCACACCAAACTAGAGGGACATTTGCTCTAGCGTCAGAGGGATCTCTGGGTAGGATATGTATTAATAGGTCCTCCCTGAGTATCCCCACAAAAGCAGATCTCATTCTTGGAAACAGACCTGCCAGGTATGATCTTAGGAAAGTCTCCCGTATGGCAAGAAGCCATTAAAGGGGCAAACAAGGAACAGGGATGCTACAAAGAGGGAGCTGAGACAGATAAAATTTTCATTCCAATCCCAGCATCCTCAGATCAAATCATAGCTATGAAAAAAGATGAGACTCAGACTTCCTCCTATTGTAACGTTTCTCAACCTCTTCTTGGGTCGGGAGATTTGAGGCATGGATTATGTGCTCCCAAGCATGTTTTCTCTCCTAGACACCCAGACGGGCTTACTAGCAGGTTCGAGGTCTTATGGAAATAGTTATCTTGGGAAATAAGAGATTCATCTGCTTTGCAAACCCACCCACAGTCATCGACCCCTCCCAAGGTGAACTTCCAAAGATACTCAACTGTCAAGAATATGTGATGAATATATGCAGATGTTCACCCATACATGCAATGTTTTTTTTTATTGTTGTTGTTGGGTGTGTGTGTGTGT